TTAGACGTAGTTATAAATTTTAGACGCAGTTATAAATTTCAGACGTAATTCTAAATTTTAGAATATCGTTCTAAATTTCAGGCATAGTCTCATCTCCTGATAGCGACGTCGAAAAAATTAAAGTGATGACTGGTTACACATCTTTTGCCTTCTACTTTAAAATAGTAGTTCACTAACAAATTCTATATTTTGCTTATTTTTGAAATAATGATAGCGGTTTTTTGAACTCAGTTCCACCCTATATAATAAAAATTATATGTAGTAGGCACAGTATTTGTACGATATAAATAAAATGCACCTTCATAAAAATATTCATACATCTATTTTCATGTACATCAGAGTATTCCTACTAGCTGCAATATTATATAGTAGAAACGCAATATAGATATTCGCCATGTAGAGAAGAGAACTCGCGTTTTTTCCAAAGTCATAACGGAAATTGAAAAGATAATAAGCTGCGCACTATTATTTTTATTATTTTTATTATTTTCTTTGGTGTTTATTCATGGATAAAAATGCTACATGAACGAACGCATACAAATCTCGATTCTGTTCCGCGAATTGCGTATGCATTTTATTATATTATTTTTAGACATAGGAGAGGATTTATTTGCAGTAAAAAAGTCGATGGTAATATTCATAATAATTGGCTCCGGTTTATTACTCTCATATTTCCCTTATTGTGCCAATAACATTTTTCAATGTGTATTATAGTACAGCTTAATAACAAATCCACTTACCCTCTGTTTTTTACAAAATCTACTTGTTGTTTCACAACGAATTACAATTTCTCGTCTAAGAAGAAAACATCGGAGGTGTCTGTAATATCATACCTTCAATATTCGCCCCTCGGTCTCCGCAAGGAATCAAGGGATTATTTTTTAATTAAAAATGAAAATATTGAAACGGAATCCTGTGTGACGTAATTTGCATGTTATTAATATTCCCGAGGCGAATATCTCCAGAATAAATAATTAATGGAATAAGGAGACAGAAAGCGACAGCCTTAGAAAATTATTTAAAAGATACACGTTCGATTGTGAATAATATTCATTATTTTGTAATCACACCGAGCAGATATAGGGAGTCATGGTGATATAGACTGTTCAATTTTGAATAAGTTTGCCTTTGTAATCCACATGTAGCTTAAATATTACAAAATATTTTGAGTGGTGGGGGGAGGTGTTTGTTAAAAAATCACGAAATATTACAAATGAGAGAGGAGGGGGTCTTGTAAGATAACACTTGTATTTTTCATCTGAATTTTTCGGAAAAAAAGAAAATATTACGATTTTTTTAAGAGGACGACTAGTAAGATAACACGTGTATTCCTTACCTGAATTTAAAAAAAATCAATTTTCGGGAAAAAAAATTACAACTTTTTACAAGTGAGGAGGGTCTAGTAAAATAGCACGTGTATTCTTTACCTGAAATTTAAAAAAAATTTTAGGGGAGGAGGGTCTGGTAAGATAACACATGTATTCTTTACCTGAATCAAAAAGAATCAAATTTAACATAATACGAATTTTGTTCTAGCCACTAGAAATAAGTGTTATTGGCTGGGGGATGGGGGTTGATTTTAAATATCATCATCTATCACCAAAGGGGTCATCCAAAAATTCTTAAAAATCGATCACGTAATTATTTGACTTAGTTTCTAATGAAAAAACATACTTTCAGTAACGATAAAGTCAAAGTTGCAAGAAGTTTATTAAGATTTAAAAGTATATCGAGCTAAAGACTAGATTATTATGGTAGACTATTATTAGTGAATTTATACAAGTTTGTAGTTAATTTATTTTTCATCTTGGAAAATCTGTTTTAAAATTATAAAATTTGGTTTAGCCAATTTTTTTAAACGCACAAGAGATATACAATAGCACACGATTATTTGTATTCAATATGTTTTTTTATACATTTATTTAATGCACATGGTAATATTAAAATAGATTTGCATTTTAGTTTGCACGATATATGTACTAAAGATAAAAAAAACAGATATGGTGTTTTGGAGCTCTTAAACATGTTCTAATATAATACATAACACTAAGATCATGGAACAAAATATTCAACACTAAATTGAAATTACTAATATAAAACACTTGATAAAGACTATAAAGCATTCTTTGTAACAGTCATTTGAGGATAATATTTTTCGCTTTACTTTTTATAAAGCTCAAGACAAACCAAAAATTTTATTTGAAATATGTTGAGCAAAATATTGTACCTATGGAATTTTTATACATTTTATTGGTAATATGAAGCTTTAGTAAACTTTAGTAAACTCATCGTATAAATTCTAAAAATATATTTTGAGCATATCTAAAAAATAAAGTGCCAAAAAGCAATGTACTTTTGAAACAAAAAATGTAATTTCTCTTTTATTTTCTGCGTCGAACTCCGATGCAGTATATTAGCTTTGGACCTAATTTTATATCGATATCGATATATATATATATATATATATATATATATATAAAAGGTTCACTTGTTCCACTTTCGAGATCATCAATCAGTTTGCGAACCCGGAGGGTTAAATCGTTTGTACGAATGTTTTGGACATTCGATGTATAGATGCCAATATTCGTTTCTAATAAATATCCTTTTATATACACGTATGTATATACATATATATATATATATATATATATATATATTAACAAAGTCTAATAATCGGGCATAACATCAATAAAAAACATGAATTTCTTTCAAAAATTTTTGAAAGAAATTCATGTTTTTTATTGATGTTATGCCCGATTATTAGACTTTGTTAATACATATGTCAACATCAAATTCAGAATCATACAAAATATATATATATATATATATATATATATATATATATATTAGGGTGGTCCTTAATATGAACATTTTCGAATTTCCTTGCTCCCAAGGGCTCAAATGGTTCCACATAGATAAAAAACAATTCTCTGAAAGTTTTAGCTCTTAATATTGTCTTTTAAATAGAGCGCAATTCAATCAAAGTTTTGTATGGAAATAGCATTTTTTCTAGTATTATTATTATTTTGACCAGTAATCAGGACTCGAGTCCTATAACCTGTTGAAGTGATTTGACTTAATACTAGTCGGTTCTACAGATGGCAACCCGAACAGTTGTCCCGTTTTTGTTTGATGAATTATTATTACAATTTCTGTAATAAGCTGAACATTTGAACCGGATCAAGGCTATTTTTATTTGGCAAGATATTGCTAACTATATTTCCAAAACCGTTGTCACTACTGCTTGACATCAGGCTGCACGAATCGGAATAGAACCCGAGACCTCTGATTCAGGTCCACTTGTGAGCCCAAACCATCTAATATGAATGAAGCTTTCGGAAAACTTACACGAAACTTTTTTTTGTCTAAACTATTTTCAACTGCTGTACTCTATTTTTGTCTATTGCAATCAGAAATTGATATTGTATTTGATATTTGATATTTGTATTTGTAATAAATACTCCCATATTTTCTAAGAATTTATTACCACATATTTTCAATATATTTTCATTCATCGCGCCCACGAAGTCTTATTGCCAATTAGATATGTAATAACTTGTATTAAAAGGCAAAAGATTGCCGTTTTGCATTTGCAATTGGATTTTTTTTCTGCGAAACCAGCGTAAATAAGCAATTCATTCATTTCATTCTACTCATACATTCGAATAGAAAGCTCTCGGCGCAATATTGCAAGCTAGTTTTTCAATTTTCCACTTTTCTTTGTGAGAGGAGAACAAACGCGACGATGCGATATAATTACGGGTTTCTTCTTCCACTGGTGAGTGAGCACACTCACTCTTTTCAAAGAAAATCGAAGAGGAAAATGGGAACGAGGGAAAATTATTTCAGAATTCATATTGGATCTTATCAGCCCGTGCATTGATTATTTATTTGTTCATTTATTAATTTCATTCCTTGTGACTTTTACATTGTTTTTCTGAAGCAACTGATATTCTTACAAAAATTCAATTTTACAAAATATTTTTACAAAAATAGTTAAACTTTAGCTAATAGATTAGCAACCTTTGGAACGTGCTCTCTTAGCCTGTGCAAAGGAGGCATACAAGTGTTTCTAAAATATGTAAAAATACTATTTTTAAATAAAAACCAAAAAATTCTAATAAACGTAGAAATATTACCCAGTGAGTTATAGAAATACATATAAAATTATTCGATCTGTAATTGAAACATTTTATTGATTTTCTGATACTGACAAGGGTTTTCGCTTCAATGGACGGAATAATATTGAATATATATATATATATATATATATATATATATATATATATATATATATCTAATACCTCCTAAAACAGATACAATCTAATTTAATTCTAACTAATTCCACAAAATCCTCGTTTTGCATCAAATCTTAAAGGATTTACATGTCTTTGCTAAATCCGCGTTCAAACCGAAATAAATTGTAATATAATTATATATAATATAATATATTGTATATACACACGCATATATATATATATATATATATATATATATATATATATGTGTGTGTGTGTGTGTGTGTGTGTGTGTTATATAATTTTTTTTTGTTTCACGTATTTTTTATATCCTCTCTATATTATTAAATCGATTATTATGGATGATGTGTTGATAATAATTCAATTACCAGAATTCCGCTAATAAATAATATATCCGGAAAGTAAACTATTATTTCTGTTTTCTCCGCAAATAAAGCGTTTATGATCCGAGCGTGTCTAAATCCTTATTGGAACGTCTTTACGCATTTTTATCGTTTAAGTGGATTATATTTTTATTCTATCGTAAATATACTTATTTCCGAAGGCAGGTCCATAGTGTGAGAGCACCACATTTTATTTACCTCTTTCTCCTGCTTTCGTGCTCAATATCGAGTTTCACTCTTTTACATCTAGTGCTTTTTAAAGTGTTCAATGCAGTTTTTAGTTATTTCATTTATTATTTATTAAACATACTCTTTATCCTTATCAGAACATCTATAAATTTTATTACTCTTTTTTCAGACATGCTACGAAATGGAAAGGTACCTGCAGGATGAACCCCGAGCGATGTATTACAAGAAATCAGCCTACAACACAAACCTGAATAACAACAACAGCACGCACAGTAACAACAAAAATGATTTGAAAACAGCTACGATAAAATCTGAATCACCGGAACCGCCAAATTCCTCAGTGGATGCACCATGGAACCTGTTTACGCCTCCTGGACCAACCTCAGGGTCGAATGGGAGCCAGAACAGTACACCATGGAAGGTAATGATAAAATATATAAAATATCCGTGTTTTGTTAGACTTACTCTCTGATACTTATCCATATAATCTAGATTGCAAGCATGTCATGATTCTTTTTGTCGTCGTTTTAGGTTGAGGTTGTAGATGGAGGTCAACTTTGCCTCGACGAACTGAACCTGGTGGTAGTCGCGGACAGACAACTCGATTCCTTAAGTATGAGTTCAGCAAGTTCGGCCTGCAGCGGTGTTTCTTGGGACAGCAACCTGAGTTGTACAGGGACGATAGGTGTCAAGAGGGAACGAGAGTATGATTGCTGCGATGATTATGAAATTGAGGAGCCAGATGATGAGATCGAAGATTTGGAGACAGACGATACAGAAACAGACAGCGATGATGTGGTAAGGGCAGTGGACTAACAAGAATTTCGCCGTAATTGTTTTTCACTGAGTTTTATAACTGTTTTCTTTCCAGATACGGTTATTATCGAGTCGATCAGCCGAGCCGACAGCGGCTGCAACCGCATTAGCTTTAACTCCTCCATCTAGTCCCGGTGCCGCCACTTTGATAACGCACCGCACGAACACTTCCAATACCGCAACCGCCACCATAACCGCCAATCAGAGTATACACACCGCTACCCCTACGACGGGCATCTTAAGGGTATCTGGCCAATCCTGCACACCTGCCCAGAGAAACACCTTCCTGCGGGTGTCCAAGAACAGTCTCACCCCCGTTAACGCTGTCCCAGCTAGATTGATAGCTGTAGCATCCAATAGGACACACAATAGCAGGCAGCAGATGTCAGCGGTTGCGGTGGCTGGTGGAAATCAACAGCAGCAGCAACAGAACCAACAACAAAGTCAGCAGTTGAGTCAGCAGACAATAGCGACCACGACGACGACGAGCAGACATGCGAGGCACGAGCATTCTCCTGACACCAAAAGGCAGCACAAGTGCCAGTATTCGGGCTGCACGAAAAAGTATACGAAGAGCTCCCATCTTAAAGCGCACCAGAGGACGCATACAGGTAAGATAATTGACACATATTCTGACGATTGTCATAAAAAGTAAATTGATAATAATTTAATTCACCATATGCAAACCTTTAAAAATGTACAGGGTATATACAAAAAGGAATTCTAGTCAATTCAGTCAGTTTTTGTAAGTAATTGTCATACCGTCGATAATTTTACCATTATTGTTTTTATATACTAGACGTTGCAAAGCTATAACTATTGACTATGTCACTTCACTATGTCGATATCTTCTTCTTCTATATTTATATATATAAAAATAAGTCGGGTTTTCCTTCCTGACGAAATAACTCCAGAACGCACGAACTGATTTCGACAATTTTGCATTCTTTGGAAAGGTCTCGGGCTCCGCAAGGTTTATAGCTAAGAAAATTAGTGGTGCATGGCATCGTGCCCTAATGCAAATTGCTGGAACTTCACGCACCGTAATTAAAAATTCAAGTAATAAAAATAATCAATAATTGTTTTAAATAATTGCAAATAGATTATCTTCTATATATATAAAAATAAATCGAAATTCCTTCTTGATCAAATTTTTTTTTTCAAATACAAAACAAACAAAAAATTTCTTCATCTTTCTCACGAAACCATCTGGTGGCGAAACGGAGTTCGTCGGGTTTGCTAGTATATATATATATATATATATATATATATATATATAATTATCCCCCACGTCTCTCGACAATGATATATGTCACCGTTTCCCCGTTAATTAGAATATAGGAGTCTATTTTCGAAAGCGTTCGTTCTGAATAAATTTCGTCGTCTTGTGTCTTCTTGAAGGATGTTCGACGAACGTCGATCGGAATTTCTGATGAGACTACCCTGACATCGTCTTTTGAAAAATCATCCACTCCTTGGAAGGAATTGATAGTAGGGGGGTTGGTGGATAGATAATTTAGATTGATGTTCGAAAATGTAAATGCGGTTTTTAATGTTATAGAGATGCTTCAGGGTATTGTGATGTTAAAAACTATTGTGCATGGTTGAGTTTTGTAAAAAATTGTCGTATATATAATTTATATTGAGGGAACGGTTTCAAAGTTCTAAATGAAATTGTAACTAAGCGCGCATCCATTTAGTATGGACGGTCAGTTCTTTGTAATGGCGATTTTGAATAATAGGAGTAGGTGTAGATAGCTATTTTATTAGGAAAGATAATAGATTGATTGAAAGTTAATAGATGATAGATAATGTAATTTTGCATCAATCCTTTTATATTTTGAACAAATTAGATGAACGGTTTAAAAGTTACAAGCAATTTAACAAAAACATACCAATACTAAATTTGTTGTCCTCAATCGGCCAAAATTGGAACCCTTACTCAAAAAACACAAGCCAAAATTTGTTGTCCTCAATCGGCCAAATTTTTCGAACTCTCTCTCTCTTTTCCAACACTACTCATGATGTTTTTTAGAAACAGACTTTAGATGAATATTAATAGTTGTTGAAATTCTGTTCTGATCGATGACTTTTTTTATGGCACCTCTCCCCACATCCATTCAGCCTGCTCCAAAGTTATGCAGGGCGCGTGCACTTTTCAGCGAACTCTCTTAAGCCGCCTCCGTACATTACTATGCCATAGATGGAGCAGGTAATTGCCCGAGGAGCAAAGGAAAAAAATAAAAAATAAGAAAGGGGTTGGGGGTGAGTTTTAGTAATGAGATGCTCTTCGGTCGTGTCTTAGAAGACATTTGTTTGAATTTTGTTTATGGGGTGTTGTAAGTCGTTTGTAAGCTGTAAAGGGATATATGTATATATAGCTAGTTTTATTTATTTTATAAAATGTTTGTTTAACATTCACAAAGTATCAATACCTAATTTACAGCTTTCTAGTTATAAAATCTCGTCATACATAAATCATTTAATTACAGTATCTATTTTAATATTTTCGCACAATTATTTCGGGTATTTATATTGATTACAAATAAACGTACAAATGAATAATTTATACTTGCACTACAGATTATTGTGAATTTATTAATTCGTCCGTTATTTAATTATTAATTAGTCAATTAGGAAAATTCATTGAATTACACAAAGCCTACAGTTTGTAATTTTCAACAAATGCAATTTCAATCACATATAATGCACAATGCATATTGATGAAGAACGAGATTCCCTTTGTATGATGCGTTTATTTGATACAAAATTTGGATATTTGGGTATATTGTACAAAAATAAATAGTTCTGAGTATTGTCTAATGCTTCAAAATTAATATTAAAAATATATAATAATTAATAAAGTATTTCACCGTTAGTAGTGCTTTGAATTGCGTCGCATTTGTGCATTTTATTCATGTTCTTTTATTTAAGAAAAATTTTAATCAAAAATACTCTATGCAATAAAATATAAATTTAATCTTCGTCCACCACTTTCTATGAATCTCACGGGAAAATATTCCGGTTTTAATTATTTTGATTAAATTTGCATTTTATTCTTACGGTTCAATTAAAACTTAAGCACGTGTCTCTAGAGATGTGGTAGGAAGTGGAATTTGCTTTTGCTACATATAGTACAGGTGAAAAAATTGCTATAAATAATTATAGAAACTGATGTCGTTTTGCGAGAAATATTGTTGGTTTTATATTGTGATTTATGAGTAGGGGAGCTTCGGCATTGTGTAACATTTTGTTTAAATTAATATATCTTGAGATCCACTGATCATATCTTAACGAAATAGATATGGATACATGCAGTAATTATATATTTACCGAACTGAATAAAAATAATTCCATAGCAATGGTGCATTATTTTACAATTACTCATTTTCTACAAAAAGTGCGATGCTACAACTTACAACCTGTTTGGGGCTACTTTTATATATTTAAAGTTAGTCGATAATAACACAAATCCTAATTTCATGGTAGTTTTATTTTACTTATTATTAACCCTCCGTCGGTCGGCGTGGTCTGGCCAGACTTTTTTCGACTTCAATTAAAAATAAAAAATACTTCTAGTAATCCTATCGACTTGAAATTTCTTGACTTTTCCTAAAATTTCATTAGCTGTCGATCAATGAAAAATCAGGACGAAAAAATGTACAGAAGGATAATTATAAGGATATTAACTTTTTTATACTTCGAACGGTCGGAAAGGTCTGTCCAGACCACCAATACATTTTGTATGAAATATACGCTTTTTGATATATGTGAACCAGTATGTTGTCTTTTTTCTGGTATTTTCTATTCAAACTGCGTTGTTTATATTCTTTGCTATGTGTTCTAACATGAATGTTAGTATTTTCATGACGAGGGTTCCTTCAAAACCTACCAAACTTATTGGTAATCGCAAACACTGAAAATCGGATGAGTAATGCACACATTCATTTCAAAGGCGCCGAAAAAGAATAAATATTGTTTTTCATAGATTTAAAAGAGAAAAATTAACAAAAACAGCAACGATTTCTTTATATTTCTTGATTTTTTTATATAATCGTTAATACATAAGACACCAAAAACTCATTTATCCCATATAAATGCATGTAAAATGAATGGTGGTCCAGCCAGACCTTTCCGACCGTTCGAAGGTGAAAAAATATCCGACCGACGGAGGGTTAAATTTATTTTACCTATCAAAACTGATAGACTTGCACATTTGTTTACTGCTTCGTTCTATGGGACAGTAGCTAAGATACATGACCGTTTACAAGTTCAATTGAATCAAAAAAATATTTCATTAACGTTCAAAACCCTCTTAAAAACATCTGTTACTACTTACCCCTGTTACAAAAGGCTCCTAGTTCCTCTATAAGGGGTTGTCTTGAGTTAGAAACAGTTTTTGAAACAGTTATTGAAATTGTAGTTCAAAAGTGGTAAACCCAGTGGTGTTGTGCTAATATTTTTTTTGCCGGAACGCTAAAATTTAAAATCCGGTTCATAAACCGGTTCAAAAAATTTGATATATTTCGATAAGAACTCACAAATCTAATATATTGACTTTTCATATAATTAACTCTATTATACACAGCTAGTCTATACATTAAATTGTACAAGTATGAGGGAATCATTGAGTACATAATTTATATTCTTCAATGACATTAATCATATTTATTCTGGTATTATTTGTATTCATTAATACTTACAGGTATTTATTATGATATAAAAGTACTCAAGATTTATTACAATACTTTATAAGACTTAACCTAATAATATGATAGATAACATATTACCTATCATACTATATTATATTATTGTATATCATCGATAAATATCTATTATCTATCATACCGTGAGATATCTATACCGTCATTAACTTATTATATACCCTACATACCTTTTAGTTCTTATAAATACTACTGTCTAATTTATATATTCTATTAATAATATGATAGATAACCTATTACCTATCATACTATACTATATTATTGTATATCATATATAGATATCTGTTATCTATCATACCGTGAGATATCTATACCGTCATTAACTTATTATATACCTACAGACCTTTTACTTCTTATAAATACTACTGTCTAATTTATATATTCACCTATATTATATAGGTTTACCTTACGCTCTATGTATTATCTCTACCTACCTATTGTCTATACCGGGAATGGAACCCGGGACCTCAGCGTGGAAGTCGCGCACCTTAACCACTACCCTATCGGATACCCCCACTAATAATATAATATGGGACGCACTGTTGTTTCCGCGGGTCATTTTCTAATTAATTAGGTAATTAATACTAAGGTGGCGCGACGACACGCGAAAAAAGACGGTTGATTGTAGCGTTACGGTGGTGTAGTGGATAAGGTCGTCGCGTGCCACGAGGCGGACCCGGGTTCGAATCTCGGTAGGGTTAATGTAGCGTATAAGGGAAATTATAGGTAATAGGATATATAGTAGATATAGGTTAGGTGTATTCGGTATACAATGTAGGGATTTGAGAGTATATAATGAAATATAGCGTATGGTACAGATGTAAGGCGTGTAGTATAGAATGCAACGTATAGGCACACGTAAGGCTATAAAAATACATGAATTGGAA